GCACACAAATTGACATAACAGTAACGTACCGTAAGAATTGACCAATCACTTTGAGTATCGTCGAACCGTAAGGTCGCCATTTTTGTGAATACTCGATTGTAATTGGTCCATTTTTAGGGTACGTCTTAGGTTACTGTTATGTCGTGTTACTGTTAATTCGTGTGCGGCGCCCCTAAAGCCCATTCTACATTAGTCGCAATCGCAAGATCTCAAGGAAATTAACCAATCATAACTGATTATTCTTCGATCGCAAAAAGAACAATCGACTATGATTAGTCAATTTTTTTGCGACCTTGCGATTTGTGACTAATGTAGAATGGGCTTTATGTCGTTATGCAAGAATGTGTGCTTCCCGTTTAAATATATTATATTTTGTCTTTATATATGTATAATTTATGTACTGTCTCTCTTACTATTCATTTTATAAGCCGATTTTAACTTTTTTTTTTTACAAAAGTAACGGAAAGTAACGATTTTTTTATCGTTACTATTCAAATAACGGTAACGCGTTACTTTTTAGAATCAGTAACGAGTAACGGTAACAAGTTATTTTTTACCGCAAGTAACGGTAACGGTAACGCGTTACTTTAAAAAAATAACGTTCCCAATCCTGCAATTAATATCGGTAAGTTAAATAAAATGTCGAAAACCGAGCGTACGTCTCGACTTTGCGGTCAGCCCAGATAGCACAGAGAATTAGAAAAAAAACTCAGTCATGTCACTAATTCTGAGTTTATTTTTAGATGCAAAAAAAGTTCTTCAAAGTTCAGTTTAATGAAAAGAATTCTTTTCGCATGTAGAAATGAACTTAGAATTGGTGACATACGACTGAATTCTTTTTGAATTCTCTGTGCTATCTGACAGGCTCTTACATGCTTCTACAATTTATCGCTCATTTCTCGGTAAAAGTACAAAAAAATATCGATATCATTAAAAAAGCATTAACTTCTCCACACTTGATTTCGTTGCAATTAGCGGTTTATACTAATGCAATTAATATCGATACGTTAAATAAGTGGAAAGGCTCGCATATTTCGACGTCGTCGATTGTCACTTTTTTGCAGTTTGAATTTTCTATTTACTTTTCTGTAATTCTGATTAATACTGGTATCTAAGTAAAGCATGGAAAGGTGCGTTTCGACATCGCATTCAGGCTCTTACATACCGCTCTTATATACTATATGTATTATTTAAAAATTTTTCTTAATATATGCATCAGTTAGTCAGTATTCTCAAAGAGTTCAAATTTATGTATCATTATATATATTTATATAATGTCGTCGAAATAGTCGATTTATAGTTAATTACAAATACATACTTATTGAAGTATTATATCAGGAAAGTAATGATAATGTATACATTAAAAAGTTAATGTATGCTATTGCATACACTGAGAAAAAATTTACTAAAAAAAAGAAAAATAGTTAAATTTAAAGAAATAATGTGCATAGTACTGTCGAATCATTTGTTTCAATTAAACAATTATATTAATTTTCTTCCAACAAATAATTTGTCCATTAAATAAATAATAAAATTTAAGAAATATTTTCCAGATTATAAGAAATGTTTATTGGAACAAAAATAATAATTGTTGCAACCAAATAATTTCGAAATAGTAGTAGTTTATGGAAAGAAAATGCTACTTTGTCTCAAACGAATTATATGTTGAATATTAAAAAAAGTTTTGTACAATGAAAATTATACGTACTGTAATATTAAAAAATGGTTTATTTGAAGGCAAGAAATTAATTTTCTTTAAAACGAATCACTATTAAATTGCAGGCAATATTTTCTGTTATGCATTAAATATTAGTTTAAATTATATGTAATAGCTTTATATGTTTCCCAAAAGTAAAAATTTATTGGAATATAAATATAGTTTCGTAATAAATGAGCAAATGATTTTTGCAATAAATAAATGTATCTTTAGCTTTAAAAAATATTTCCTGCAACGTAGTAAATATTTATTACATTACTGTTTTATTTTGTACAAAAGAGTAAATATTTACTGCGATAAAAATGTAGTTTTTTTTATAAAAAAGCAAATTTTTTTGTAAAATTTAATATTTAATTCAAATAAATATGTTCTTTAGTCCCAAAAAATATTTGTTCAAAGAAAAAATGCAACATACTACTAAAAATAAGTATTCTTTAATATCAACGAAATATTTTTAATATTAAAAAATATTTTTTAGCCAGTCTTTTTTAATTAAAGTTTTTTTTATATTATATTTATGTCTTCTTCTAAAATTTTTTCTTAAATTTAACATACTATTATTTCACATGCTATTTAATTTGAATTGTACTTCGAAAATTTACTTACCAATGCTGAGATTCGAACTTGAAACTTATGGTCTTAAGTCGTTCACTTTATCTACCACTGTCACTTTCACTAACAGATACCTCTTATTGTATACCCATATTGTATACTCAATGTACAAAAGAAACATGATTTATTTAAAAGAAGAGAATAGATCCTTTTAAATGTAAAATGCATGTTTAAAAAGAGTATGTGAAAAATATATTTGAAAAATATTTACTTGTTTTAAAACTAAGTAAAAAAATAACAAATAAATTATTTTGTAAATTTAAATAAATTGTCTTCTGATAGTAAGAAAAACTTAATTTAAAAAGATACTTTTACAAAAAAGATACTTTTAATAATAGAAAATAATTTATTTAGATTTATAAAATAATTTATTCGTATTTCATTTTCTTTTAAAACAAATATTTATTTAAACATAGCTTTTAAATTAAAAAAAAACTATTTTTCTTCTTGGAAGGAAATTATTTGCTTATTTTTATATATGGATATTTTAAATCAAAGGAATTACTTTTTTTTTTTATCTAGAAACAGAATTAAATAGAAACTTATAATTTTGTAACTCATTTTAAAAATTTAAAAAAATATTATTTTATATTTGTTACATGTTTTCTAAACTCAAACAAATACTTCTTTAAGTTAAGAAATTACATTTAACAAAATATATTTTTTTAATTTAAAGAATTTTTTAGTGCAGACACAACAAACATATTACTTCACTGAATTTTCAATTAAACTGTAA